ATCGATTATCGAATAAATGTTAGTAGAATTTTCAGATTTGTTTAATTGTAATAGAATTTTCAAATTTGTTTAATTGTAATTGTAATTTATGTTTCACTAAGTGGTAAAACCAAATTCTTGAAATTTATATAATTAATTATAACAACTATTACTTCTTATTATTTATCAAGCAAGTTTGTTTTATTATATTTGTAATAATTATAGATAAGACTGTTTGTTTTTTCATTTTTTTAATGTTTATGTATCTTTTTGTTGCAGAGGGACATCAGGCGTCGATCTTCGTGTCGCGTCGCGTCGGGAGTGCTCCAGGTCGTCGAGTTTCGGACTTCGAAGTCGCCAATACCCGGAATCTCGGACCTTCCGAGATCCTGGGTCTTGGAAACTTCGAAATTCGATTCTCAAAGTCCTCCTCGGAGGACTTTGAGCGTCTAATTTCGAAGTTTCTGAAACCCAAGATCCCGGAAGTCCGACTTCCCTGTATTGGGGGCCTCCAGTCCGAAATTTCTACGACCCAACGTCCGGGCCTTGTCCCGGACGCTCTTCGACTTAACAAAACCTTCGGCGCTAGACCTGGTAGGCCTGAAAAATTTTTTTTGTCATTTTTTAAATAAAACACATTGTAAGGTTCTCTTCTCTTTTATTCGACGGCCCCACCCTTCCCTTCCCGGGGGCCCTCGCCCCCCGGTCCCGGGGCTTTCGACCCCGGGGCCTCTGCCCCTGGTGCCCCCCGATCCCCGGGGACTTCGACCCCGGGGCCCCCGATCCCGGGGCCTTCGCCCTCGGGCCCACCCTACCCCACGTGGGTACGAATGTATGAATGGTGGGGACTTCTGAGGGTGAGAAGTCCCCACCATTCCTACATTCGCACCCACTCCACGTGGGTTTGAATGTATGAATGGTGTATGGGGTGTGGCCCCCACCATTCATACATTCACCCCCACGCATACCCGCCTGCCACACGTGGGTTTGAATGTATGAACGGTGAATAGGGTAAGATCCCCACCATTCATACATTCATCCCCACACATACGTATACATACACTTTTCATTCGCACACATACATAGGTACACCCTTCATTCATATTTTCATCCTCTCGTACATGCAGCTTCTCTCTCTGATTTACAACCCTCAGTCAAACATGCTCTCTCTCTCATACATACTTTCTAACTCCCTGATATACTCCCTTCACTCTTACATTCACCCACTCTTGCTTACATCGTCACTTACTCCTTCAATCACGCCACCATTCCTCTCATGCACGCTAAACATACATACAACCCTTATTCATACCTTCAGTCATACCTTCATGCTAACACTCTCTTATTTACACCCTTCTTTCATATCTTCACTTTCTCACACATGCTTTTTCACTCTCTAACATTCACCCTTCACTCTTACATTCTCCCTCTCTAACATACGTTGTCACTTGCACCTTTAATAACTCCACCATCCCTCTCATGCACTCTAGACATACATACAACCCTTATTCATACCTTCAGTCTCTCGTTCATGCTCCCACATATCTATTTACACCCTTCTTTCATTTTCTCACCTTCTCATATATACCTTCTTACTCTCTGATATTCACCCTTCATTCTTACATTCTCCCTCTCGTGCATACGTTGTCATTTACACCTTCCATCCCTTTCATGCATATAAGACATACGTACATACATTTCTTATTCATATTTTCACCCTCTCTTACACACTCTCTCTGATTTATTTCTCTCACTTTTACCACTCATTCATAGCACTCATACATCTCATACTTGCCCCCCATTTTCACATTTCTCTCATACTTATACGTTTACACCTTAAGACACACTTTCATTCATATCTCCAGCCCCATTCGGACACACTCATTCTTACTTTCTCGCCTTCATTGTCACCCCTCAAATAAGTCCCCCTTTCCCAATAGTTTACTATTTACAGTGAAATTAACAATAGCATCTATACCTAAACATTTACAAATATGTGATAATACATTACTAGTTGTATCATAACGAAATATAAATAAATATTCCTAGTTTTACAATACTAAATATCTCAACTAATGTAATTATATATTCCTACAATTTAAAGAAGTGTTATTACAATAAAACTTAAATAAACTAGTACAAAAGCAAATTGGTATTTTATTATATGTAATATAACATTAATAAATATTAACTAATAAAAACAAACTTATTGATTTAAACACTCAACATTTTGAATGATAAATTTCTTTCCCAAAAATACTTTAAAGAACAAAATTACTGCGAGATACCTACTAAAAAAATGTTAACTGAAGAAACTTTGAGTAAAATATCAGTATGCATATTTTAAAATCAATAAAAGTCTAAAAATGATTACAAGTAAGTATTGAGATAGTTTACAATTAAATTTTCAGATCTAATATATTAAACAAATGAAATTTAAGAAGTGAAAATTATCAAATAATATGAAACATGAAAGGAATGAAACTCAAAATTCAAAAAATTGAAGTGATTAAAATCTTGTTCGATAAAGCTTCACTATCTTACAAAAAGAATTACAAAAAAGCCTTATGAAATTCAGTTTCTGCAGACATCTCATCCTCACGAACGATCCATGTTCCTACATTCCATTGAAGACGGTGGGACATCATCGTTCCTGGGAGGGATGTTTATTTGTACTTCCCTTACGAAATCTGAAAGATATAAATCAATTATGAATTAAATTTAAACACTAAAAATAAAATATAAATTCATAATTAAATATTAATGTGAAAATATAAAAAAATCAATGATTACAGACAAGTATTGAATAAAAATTTACAAATAAAAGTTCAGATCTAATACAATTAAGCTAATAAAAGATAAGAAGTTACAATTATCAATCAATAAGAAACTAAAATCTCAAAAAATTAAGCTGATGAAAATACTAATACAATTAAGCAAATAAAACTGATTAAAATACTGTTCAACAAAACTATTTCTCTGCAAAAACTAATTACACAAAAAGGCCTTACCCAAAAACTTCAGTATCCACAGAACATTTCATCCTTACAAACGATCCATCTTCCTACTCTACGTGGAAGACAGTGGGACATCATCATTGCCAGGAGGGTTGTATATTTTACTTCCCTAACGAAATCTGAAAGATATAAATCAAACTTGGATTAAATTTAAACAATAAAAGTAAAATGTAAAGTAAAATGAAAATACATATTCAAATAATGATGTGAAAATGTAAAAAACCAAAGATTACAGGTAAGTATTGAATATGAATGTACAAATAAAAGTTCAGATCTAATACAATTAAGCTAATAAAAGATAAGAAGTTATAATTATAAATTAATCTGAAACTAAACACTCAAAAAATTGAACTAATTAAAATATTGTTTAACAAAACTCTACTTTCCTGCAAAAAGAAATTACAAAAAAAGACTTACCTAAAAAATTCAGCTTCTGCAGAAGACCTAAGCCTCACAAACGGTCCATATTGTTATCTTTCATCAAGAAAGACTTCACCATTCTCCTCCAGAAGGATGTAAGTATCAGAGATCCAAAGATAACGCTATCACATTCCAAACGAAACCTGAAAAGATCGAAATTTATTTTTAAATAAGTTTCACAAATCTTTATACCTAACCATTCAACATAACATATTTCACAAAAACAGTTCACTTATTTTAAGTTTTGTAATAAATTAAATATTCTAGATGTGGCAAAAAGGCTCTTGAAAAATCCAAATTTTAAGATTATGTAAAGACTACCCTTCATTTATGACCCTTAACACCGTTATGCCAGGTTTGTTACTACATTGGTTCAAACAATCAAATGAAAAGACAAGCCTTTTGGGCACAGAACGTATGCCTGAAATTTTTAAAATCAAGTACGAACTGTGCCAAAAAGGCCCGCGAAAACTTGAATAGTTCACGATTATGCAGAAACAGCTGTTAATTTACACCCTTATAACAGAGTTATTTCACGGTCGATTAAAGATNCGTCGATGACTACCTTAAATATACACAACTAAATCTTTAAAATTTCAACTGATAAGGGGATGCAGTGAGTGTGTTTTTGAGAAAAGAGAAAAATTTAAAATTAATTAAAATAATATGATTAAAACGCCACGTGGCGATACTTAAACAATAATCAATTCACGCAATCGTAAATGTTTATGTGTTTTTATCTGAATGCTACCACGTGGTGTAGGTAGTCTGATTATATCATTAGGTTTTCTATAATCCTTGATAGACACAAAAATTAGAGATAGTTCAATACGTACTGAAAATTTGAGTGTCTTAATTGATACACCGAATATATCAAAGACGAAGGAAGAACTTTGGTACTTGTATATCTTCAAAACAGAAGAAGATGGATGCATTTTCACAGGATCGTTAGGTTTTTAAAATCTGAAATAACTTTGTACCTATTAAATAAATATTCGGATTCGTAATTTTCTAATATGAGAAAATCAACAATTCCATGAAAACGTAGTACGTAATAGTTCAAGTGCGGCACTTATTGATTTCGATTATTTTCTTATTGATTTTTTTTATCGATCGAAATACATATAGATTGGCGCTTTGACAAACATACCCTCACGCTCAACATTAAAAGTACTAGACCGATTTATTGTCATTGTTTGTTCACATTACAAAGATTTGGTCGAAATGAACTGGACGATACTTTTAGTGTTGTTGGCATTCGAATGCAGTGTTTGTTTATGTGACTACTGGGCAGACAGAGAAAAACTAATACAAGAAGAATTTTCCCAAATACTTGGATCTTCCATCAAACTTACCCAGGAAGAGGAAGTTGTTAATAAAAGACTCATTAAGATCAAATCTGATGAGTACAACAACGGATTTAACAACGTTCTAAATTTTTTTCCTGCTCAACATTTCTTCAAGTCGATACCACAAGTTGAAAGATCTGAAGTGTTCAAGTTCATTCAAAAGGTGCCCAAGGGAGCTGACCTTCATGCCCATGATAGTGCCATTGTTTCGGATCAATTCCTTTTCAATTTAACTTACAGGAGCAATCTGTACGCCTGTTTTCAAAACGGAAGTTTTCAATTGAGGTTCTTTAGTGAGCCTGATCTCTCTTGCAACTGGTCTAACTAGGCAAAATTGAGACAGGAAGATGCTTCCCTTGACGATTTTATATTGTTCGTCCCACTCAAAGACGTTTTAACACACGTCTTTCATTTTTGACTCGAAATAAATTATTTATTACTAATATTTAACGTTTTGTGTTAATTGTTTATTGTAAACTCGTGAATTACAATTAGCAAATGCTAATGGCTGGTATCGGTAACAATATTGCAAAAAAATGTGCTTTCTTCAGTGGTTTCCACAAATACGACTTTCCTTCAAAGCGGTTTTCGCTTGTCCAGCAGAAATTTAATTTTTCTCAGGCTCTATCGGAATTATTTCTATTTTAAAGTTATTGGTAATTGTTGGTGTTAGTTCAAAAGCTCTTCGTAGTACGGTTGTCGATTGCGCCACCAGTCTTGCAGTTCTGCCTCTGCTGACCGTGTTTTCACATACGTAACAAGCTGGAAAATTCCGCAGTTGTTAACAATATTCGGCCATTAATGTGTTTCTGTGAAATCGTTTTCGGAAAATCGTAATTTTGGTGGTTCGAACAGCGAAATATATAGTGAAATCCAAAGCGAAACACGTAGTGATATCAGTGTTGGTATTTGTTAGTTAAAGACGCGTTAACATCTTATTCGTTATAAAAAAAAGTCAATAAAAAGGACGTTTGTTGTTGAAATGTGTTACCCATGGATAAAACCAATGCAGTATCTTGTCTAATGTGGAGCATTTCTATGAAGTATCTAATAATGGATAAAACAACATTCCGGGTGAGTTTTTACCGTTTGGTCGTACTTATTATTAAAATTTCGTCGTTTAGGGTAGATTTTTTAAGATTTTTACTTGATAAGGGACTTTTTCAAGTTGTTCTTAAACTGTTTTAATAATTTTCAAGTAGTTCAGCTACAATCTTAATCATATTAATTCAGTTTATATGCAATGATCAGTTCTGATTGTTTACTTAAAAATTGCTTCTACAAATGTTTTCAAAATTATGATTGCAGTGGATTTTGTACAGAAGAATGCTCATATTTTTAACCGTTTAGGTTTAAAAATTAAATACAAGCGTTACTGTTCACCGCTATTTTTCGCGGTTGAACGATATATAAGGCAGGCTTATTAGTCACTCAAGCGGTAATACGGTCGCAGATCGTAGGTTGACTGCCTAGACGCTGAGTGAGGGTACCTATAGCAAAGCGTTATTAGGTGGAATAGGCCAAACGGGCGACTGTAAGTCCGGCGGTGTATTACCCCCGNGTGCTGATTAACTCGGGTACCTATATTAGTGCTACTAAGTGGATTAACTGCCATGACATTATTTTTTCCGCGTAATAGTATTAAAAAAAAAAATGTTCCATCAAGAAAAACGGCTCAGTGGGACATACTTTTATTTGCTTCTCCGTAGGTAAAATATAGTGATAGAATAGAATATGTTCTTTGCTCCTATGTCTGGTTAATACATGTTTGAAATATAGAGACATACTAATTTCTTTTTCGATATTTTTTACTTATTTCAAGAACCTTGTACTATTTTCGTTCGCTAAAAGTTCAGTTTATGCGTTGAAGGAAGGGTAAACTTATGCATTGGAGAAAGAGTTAGTTCTCGCGTTTTCTACTTACAATTATTATTTATTATATATATCAGATTAAATGAGCAAAACGAAGACTTAACAAGCAAGACCACAACCAAGACCGAATAAGCAAGAGCAAGACCAATTCCAAGACTAGGACAGTCTTACCTTAATAAAACTTTAAGTGATACAAGCATAATTACCCTTTGTTATTATTTTCCCGGTCTTCTAGGTTTTCAGTTGTTAACTTTGAGCAAGTGAAGACGCCCTAATTCCAAAGAACCTCACGCACATCTTTTAGGGTACGATATGGAAATCAATTTTCTATTCTTAAATTTTATAGAGCTGATAGTGCTTCTTGCCCTGAAATATGATCGGTCATTTCCGGATCCCTCACGTATGAGTTGAAAGTATTAGTAAAATTAGGTATCTATGTGTGTAACAGTAAAGATTTTAATCCAAAAATTTTGTAATTTATCAGATGCTGGGTTTTCAGGTTGTGAGTTCAAAATCGATAGGTAGCGTCAAGAGGCGTAAGAAACAAATAAAAATAATCACATATGGACTAACAATACAGTTTCCTAAGGCGTCGTAGCATAATGACAAAGCCCGAGCTTATAAAACCATTACGTAGGAAATAATAACCGTAAGCAGCTGAAACTAATTTTGAGAAACACCTAAAGGTTTCAAGAAGCCTCTCAAGCAAACATTCATTTAAAAGAAACGTAACTTTTAAGCATTTGTATGAGATTACAACTAAAAGCGTATGAGAGGGTAGCTATTATATAGATAAGGAAAATTATTCATCGAACACACAAATTACACATTTCCTTGTCATATTTTCTTTTTATGCCACACCAGTGAAAATGCATAATATAGTAAATGTATGGAGTATACAGTTTTCTAAACCAGCCGAACTTTCAAAATCATTTGAACAAAGCGTAACACCTTTAAGGGTTTTACATTACATTAAATGAGCTTATGGGTATTACTTTAGTATTTATATGAAAAGGTGGCTGAAGGCATTTGTACGAATTTTCTTATACCACGTTTAATTTTTTAAAAGATGATGCCGCTGATGTATCTAACATTGTATCTATACAATTCCTAGGAAATGTATATAATTCCTAAAATCGCCTGGAAATGTGTGAAATAAATTATATTAGACACATTTCCTAGGAAATCCATACATTTCCTATATAGCAATCGGAAATGTATTACATTCAAAATGTCAATGGGTACGCATGGATAGCGGAGCAAGGGGAGGGTATTGCGTCATCCAAACAAGCGATTTATTGTATTCACAGATAACTCTGATTCTCAGTTCGCTAACGTTTTTTATTCATTTTATTCACAGAAAGCATTAGTTTTATAAATTTCCTAGGAAATGTATACATTTTCTAGGATATGTGTGTATTAAAAAATCTTTGAAACAATATTTTATGGATTTTCTAAATAGTATACAATTCCTAGATATCATACAGATAATTAAAAATGTATAGATTAGATCACATAGTTTGTATAAATGGTTGCAGTTATAGAACTTAACCAACAATGTAGATAAGTAGATAGAGATTAGGAACAGAGTCGTCAGACTGTCACGTTTTAGTCTTTCTAGTCTCGAAAACGCTATAAAGAGGACAACTTTAGGGATAGGTATACAGGGGCAAAAGATTAGTAACAGCCAACAGCGAATACATATAACGATAAGAGACGATTTTCTGTATCTAGGATGTCAGATTATTCAGGGTGGATAGAGCAGTAGAGATATCAAACGAAGGATAATGCAAGATCGAGTCGCTTCTAACGAAAAGAAGTCATTTGTGTGCTAGCGAATTGTTAATTTAGAAATTCTAAAAAGACTGTTGAATGTGGATACCTGGAGCACAGCGCCGTACAGGTGCGAAACGTGGAGGGAGCGATAGAGAAGGTTAGAAATAAAGAGGTAGACGAGATAGGTTGGTAGGACACCTTCTCAGAATTGAAGGGCTAGTTAGTTAGAAGCAGAAATCGGAGTCAAAAGGAGTAATAGTAGATTTAGGTTAGATTTGTTGTAGTTTTAGAGAAATGCAAAGATTGACAGGATGAAAAAACAAAAAAATTTACGTTAGTATCCACCCGCAGGGATGTCTTACTTCAACAATAATTTCACAATTGAATATAACTTTCAGGAACTGTAAAATTCTTTTTCCACGCCGGTGAAACGGCATGGTATGGGACAAGTGTAGACGAAAATTTGGTGGATGCAATTCTCCTAAATACAACAAGAATAGGGCACGGTTTCGCCCTATTAAAACATCCCAAACTTTTACAGATGGTAAAAGAGAAAGACATTGCCATAGAGATCAATCCTATATCAAACCAGTTGTCAACAAACATAAGAGATCTAAGGAGTCATCCAGCAGTTTTTTATATTAATCAAAATTATCCTGTTGTAATATGCAACGACGACCCTGGTGCGTGGGGAACCAAGGGACTTAGCTACGACTGGTACATGGCATTTATGGGATTATCCAGTAAATATACTGATCTGAGGTTCTTGAAACAGCTGGCTCTTAACTCAATTAAATACAGCATACTTTCTACTTCTGAAAAAAGTTCTGCTCTTTCCGTGTTCCAGAAGAAATGGGATAAATTTATCACGGACTTACAATAAAATCAGGAAGGCCAACAACATGAAAAATGTCAACATTATTTTTGTATAACGTTTATAATTGATTTTAAAATTACATTTAAAAATGAAACATTTTTATTTACACCTTACTGTAAATTTCTTTGCCCATTGTTGTGCCTCCTAGTGTGCTATAAAGTAATTATGACCAACATATAAGACTTAATCGAGGTCATATGGGAACTGAACTAAATTATTTGTACGAAAATTATGGCTTACAACTAATTTTTCTAATTAATGATATTAAATGATTCATTTTCATGTCTACGTTTCGCGTTTTACAAAAGCGCACTTAATTTTTCCGATTTCAAAACAAATAACTATTTGACGCCCTCCGTAACATTGATTAGGGGTGGAAGTTGCTAGAGAATCTGACGGTGCAATCCGTTTGACGAGAAATCCTCAGATAATGAAGCTAGGGGTGAAAAACCGTTAGAAATGTGAAAAGTTTCGCGTTTCACAAAAGCGCATCTAAGTTTTCGAAATTTAAAACAAATTATTTGACACTTTCTGTGATATTTGTTAGAGGTAAAAAATGCTGCATAATCTCATGATGTAATCTGTTTGGTGAAAGATCCTCAGATAATGAAGCTAGGGGTGAAAAGCTGTTAAAACTGTCAATAATTTCGCATTTTAAAAAAGCGCATCTAAGTTTCTAATATCCAAAAAATTATTTGACACCCTTTGTAACATTGATTAGGAGTAGAAAACGCTGCAGAATCTGATGGTGCAATTCGTTTGACGATAGTTTTTGAGATAAAGAAGGTCGGGGTGGAAAACCGTTACAAATGTGAAAAGTTTTGCATTTTATAATAGCGCATCTAAGTTTTCGAAGTTAATGCAAATTATTTGACACCCTCTATGACATTTGTTAGAAGTAGAAAATGCTGCAGAATCTCATGGTGTAACCTGTTTGGTGAAAGCTCCTCAGATAATGAAACTAGGGGTGAAAAACTTTTAAAACTGTCAATAATTTCGCATTTTAAAAAAGCGCATCCAAGTTTCTGATACCCTAACAAAGTTTTTGATGCCCTCTGTAACACTGAAAAGGGGTAGAAGATGCTGCGGAATCTGATGGTGCAATCTGTTTGATTATTGCTCCTTAAAAAAAGAAACTAGGGGTGAAAAACTATAAAAACCGTTAATAATTTCGTGTTCTAAAAAAGCGCATCTCAGTTTCCGATTTCAAAACAAATTATTTGACGCCCTCTGTCACATTAATTAGAGGTGGAAGATGCTGCGAAATCTGATGGTGTAATCTGTTTGGTGAAAGCTTCTCAGATAATGAAGCTAGGGGTGAAAAACTTTTAAAACTGTCAATAATTTCGCATTTTAAAAAGCGCATCCAAGTTTATGATACCCTAACAATTTTTTTGACGCCCCCTGTAACATTAATTAGGGGTAGAAGATGCTGCGGAATCTGATGGTGCAATCTGTTTGGTGAAAGCTCCTTAGGTAATGAAGCTAGGGGTGAAAAGCTGCTGGAACCGTGAATAATTTCACGTTTTATTAAATCACAATGTTTTCAATTTGTAAAAGGGATGACTGCCCTCACAAAATTTCCTGATTTTTTTAGATTATATATTCTAAATTAGAGGTATGCATTTTGCAGTTTAAAGTTTGTTCTTGCTACGCCGTAGAAGTTAAATTAAAAAGGAATTATAATTTTATACAAGGTAATCTCTTCTTATGCACCATGCCCTATTTTTGATGCAATTTAATGCTTTATAGCTTGTTCGTATTATGCGATAAATTTATTATTAATATTTTAAAATTGTTGGTAATTGTTGGTGTTAGTTCAAAAGCTCTTCGTAGTACGGTTGTCGATTGCGCCACCAGTCTTGCAGTTCTGCCTCTGCTGACCGTGTTTTCACATACGTAACAAGCTGGAAAATTCCGCAGTTGTTAACAATATTCGGCCATTAATGTGTTTCTGTGAAATCGTTTTCGGAAAATCGTAATTTTGGTGGTTCGAACAGCGAAATATATAGTGAAATCCAAAGCGAAACACGATTTCAATTTAACTTACAGGAGCAATCTGTACGCCTGTTTTCAAAACGGAAGTTTTCAATTGAGGTTCTTTAGTGAGCCTGATCTCTCTTGCAACTGGACTCTCTTGGCAAAATTGAGACAGGAAGATGCTTCCCTTGACGATTTTATACGTTCCAAACTTACTTTGGTGGTGGATAATCCAGAAACCAGATATAGGACTGAACGTGAGGTATGGGCAGCCTTTCTAGACATCTTAGACATTGTAACTTCGCTGATCACCTACAGACCGGTGTTTGAAGACTATTTCTACAGGGCTCTCGAGGAATTGTATGAAGACAATGTGATGTACTTGGAGTTCCGGGGTGCATTACCGAGTGTGTACGAATTAAACGGCACCGTCTACGATGAAATTGAAGTGGCGGGAATGTATATTAACGTGTTGGAGAAATTTAAAGAAGACCATCCTGATTTTGTTGGAGCCAAGTTCATTTATGGTCCTGTGAGACTTGTGGACAACGCCACTGCATGGAGATATGTCGAGACGGTGAAAGCGGTGAAGAAACGCTATCCTGATTTTATGCTTGGTTTTGATCTGACTGGGGAAGAGGAGATGGGATATCCGTTAAAGGATTTTATCGAAGAGATAAATAGTTTAGAAGGTTCGCTACTCAAAATAATTTACAATACACGTTTATAAATGTAAAGATAGCAGACGAAAATTTAGAGGAAGATGTCGATTTTCTTGAACGGTTGCTTTAGTATTTCGAAAAAGATTGTTAAAGGTGCATGTCTGGATCACGGATCCATGGATAACGTAGATAGAGAAAGTTAGAAATGAGGATGTATTAGAATGAGTAGGAGAACAGAGGACTCTATGGAAGTCAATAATAAATAGGCGAGATAGGTTGGTAGGACACCTTCTCAGGCATGAAGGTATAGTCAGAGACATATTAGAGGCAGAAACAGGAGTTAGAAGGGGTAATTTAGATTATTGTTCACGAACAGTTAAGGATGTGGGATGTTCTAGTTTTAGGGAAATGCAAAGATTAGCTTAGGATTCAGGATTGACTGTTAGACAGGCTTTATGAGACGTTTCGCCGCGGCCGGGTCGCCACCAGCCAAAGCCAGTTCCCCGTCAAAAGGATTACAAAATTCATCCCTTTAAGTATTATGAATATATTTCTAAGAAAAGCAAAATTCAAACGAAATCAAAACTTCTAATCGAAGTGGCATATTTAACAAACTTTATAAAATTNACACTCCTTCATCCTTCTCATGCATGCTACACAATCATACACCACTCATTCATACCTCCACTCTTTCATACTTGCTCTAACTTTCTGATTTTAACCCTTCATTCTTCCTTACACCCTCTCATACATATTTTCTAGTTTTTACACTCCTTCATCCTTCTCATGCATGCTACACAATCATACACCACTCATTCATACCTCCACTCTTTCATACTTGCTCTAACTTTCTGATTTTAACCCTTCATTCTTCCTTACACCCTCTCATACATATTTTCTAGTTTTTACACTCCTTCATCCTTCTCATGCATGCTACACAATCATACACCACTCATTCATACCTCCACTCTTTCATACTTGCTCTAACTTTCTGATTTTAACCCTTCATTCTTCCTTACACCCTCTCATACATATTTTCTAGTTTTTACACTCCTTCATCCTTCTCATGCATGCTACACAATCATACACCACTCATTCATACCTCCACTCTTTCATACTTGCTCTAACTTTCTGATTTTAACCCTTCATTCTTCCTTACACCCTCTCATACATATTTTCTAGTTTTTACACTCCTTCATCCTTCTCATGCATGCTACACAATCATACACCACTCATTCATACCTCCACTCTTTCATACTTGCTCTAACTTTCTGATTTTAACCCTTCATTCTTCCTTACACCCTCTCATACATATTTTCTAGTTTTTACACTCCTTCATCCTTCTCATGCATGCTACACAATCATACACCACTCATTCATACCTCCACTCTTTCATACTTGCTCTAACTTTCTGATTTTAACCCTTCATTCTTCCTTACACCCTCTCATACATATTTTCTAGTTTTTACACTCCTTCATCCTTCTCATGCATGCTACACAATCATACACCACTCATTCATACCTCCACTCTTTCATACTTGCTCTAACTTTCTGATTTTAACCCTTCATTCTTCCTTACACCCTCTCATACATATTTTCTAGTTTTTACACTCCTTCATCCTTCTCAAGCATGTTACACAATCAAACACTACTTATTCATGTCTGTACCCTCTCATACTTGCTCTAACTCTTTGATTTAAACCCTTTGTTCTTCCTTCCACCCTCTCATACATATTTTCTGACACGCTCCTCCTTTTTCTAAGTGTCTTTCATTTTTATTATTTGAAACGATTTTATTTTTCCCAAAAATTAATCTTTCGATGGTTGAAATGAATTTTAAAAATTTGTATGTTTTCTTAGTAACAATAAAATTTGTTTTTTTTTCCAGCGGCCTTCGGCTTCCTTTCCCATAGGCGTCGAGGAGGTTTTCCATGGCACCCATTGGAGGGATGTAACGAAACAATAATTTCACAATTGAATATAACTTTCAGGAACTGTAAAATTCTTTTTCCACGCCGGTGAAACGGATTGGTATGGGACAAGTGTAGACGAGAATTTGGTGGATGCAATTCTCCTGAATACCACAAGAATAGGACACGGTTTCGCCCTGTTAAAACATCCCAAACTTTTACAGATGGTAAAAGAGAAAGACATTGCCATAGAGATCAATCCTATATCAAACCAGGTAGCAATGTTGGTAAAAGATCTAAGAAATCATCCGGCAGTTTCGTATATCAGTCAGAATTACCCTGTTGTCATATGCAACGATGATCCTGGCGTTTTGGGAACTAGGGGACTTAGTTACGACTGGTATATGGCGTTTATGGGATTATCCAGTAATCATACTGATTTGAGATTTTTGAAACAACTTGCTATCAACTCTTTAAAATACAGCGTATTCTCTAATGATGAAAGAACTTTTGCGTTTTCCTTGTTCGAAAAGCAATGGGAAACGTTTATCACGGACTTCCTACAGAATTAGGAAGTCAGGATGATGAAAATATTAATGTTGTTCTTATAAAAGTAAATTTAATATCCTTTCTCATGATCCTGGATGATGATGATCCTACACCGTCTTGGTTTTTGTTATCCTTGCTTGACCTGTTATGAATTTAGTTTTTATGATATTGAAGCAAATGTTTTTAGGATATATTAGAAATGTTCATTTGTACCTATTGACTTATTGTATAGCTTTAAAATGTACATTTAATACTACTTTTAATTTCTCAATCTGTTTCTATTTGTTGAGGTGTTAGAAATTTAATTTTTGTTGTACATTTCTACATGTATAGCGTGAGACTTCATATTTCAAAAATTGTCACTTTTTAAAGATGATTGCTAAGATATAGAAAAGAAATTGTCATTTTGCGTATAAGCAGTCGTTTTAGATTTCATTTGTGCAGATAAAAGTTTTAAATTAACAGTTGTTATTGTAAATTGAATGAGGATGATAAGGGATGATCTCATATTTGTTCATTCGTCGATGACTACCTTAAATATACACAACTAAATCTTTAAAATTTCAACTGATAAGGGGATGCAGTGAGTGTGTTTTTGAGAAAAGAGAAAAATTTAAAATTAATTAAAAAGATATTGTAGCTGTGCATACATAATTTCATCAAGAGGTCGCTAAATAATTTCCGAGATTTTTTATGTTTAATGATAAATATTTTTGGACAAACAATGCTGACAAGTACGTGTTTAATACCGCACCCAAAAACCGTTGTTGTCATGAAATTCTACGTACCTTTTTCTTAATAATTATCACTTTTCAAAACGTAATCAATACTTTTTATTTACCAAAAATTCCACTATCGCTTTTTCATGTTTAAATTACTTAAACAATTCAGCAATAATAATGTGAAAGTTCTTAATTGACATCTCACTGGAAAATCGTTTGTACCATAAGATTCTACGTAGTTTTTTTTACATAATTATCATTTCTCAAAGCTTACTAAATATCTTCTATCTCTCAACAATTTCACGAACGTTTTTTTTTTCAAGTTTAAATTATTTGATATATTTTAGCAAAGATAGCCCCGAAATGTCCTACTTTTCACCGCACTTGAAAACCGTTGGCACCCTGAAATTCTGCGAATATTTTTTCACAGTTATCACTTATCTTAACTTAAATTTTACGAGCGCCGTTTTATATTTGAATTATTTTACATATTTTAGTAAAGATAAGGACGCGAACTATCTATTTGACATCGCACTCAAAAAACCGTTTGCACCATAAAATTCTTTATACTTTTTTTTTACATAATTATCACTTCTAAATGCTTACTAAATATGTTCTATCTTTGAACAATTTCACAAGGACTTTTTCAAGTTTCATATACTTTACCAATAATAACGCCGGTGTCACTCAAATCGAGTCCGATATTTATTTACTGTCAAGTTATGTCCCTTTACAATGTTAATTAATGGAATTGTGTAACAAAAAATAATTATGACCTAAAATATTAAATATTTCAGCAATTTAGAAATTCGAAAAGAAATGTTAAAGGTGTACGTTTGGAGCACGGCGTTGTACGGGTGCGAAACATGGACAGTGGGCGCGGCGGAAAACAAAAGGCTAGAAGCGTTTGAAATGTGATGTTACAGGCGAATGATGAGAGTGCCGTGGATAGAGAAGGTTAGAAATGAAGAGGTTTTAGGAAGAATAGGAGAATAGAGGACTCTATGGAAGTCAATAAGAAATAGGAGAGATAGGTTGGTAGGACACCTTTTCAGGCATGAAGGTCTAGGCAGAAACAGGAGTTAGGAGGGGTAGAGGTAGACCTAGATTAGGTTACTGTTCGCATATAGTTAAGGATGTGGGTTGTTCTAGTTTTAGGGGAATGCGAAGTTTAGCTCAGGATAGGAAAGAGTGGAATTACGTGTCCAACTGTGTCTTAGGACTGATGACTTTATGATGATGATGATAATTGCAATCGATGTACTGTTTTAACAGTATAACTAAAATGCCCCTGTGTTTAATTAACAATTACCACAGTCATATAAAAAATGTGTATTAATCTGAATGTCACCTCCTCGTGTATTTTGATTACATCATTTAGTTTAAAAAAAATCCCTGATACTTAAAGCACACACAACAATTTCAGGCTGTTCAATACGTACCGAAAATTTGAGTGTCTTAATTGGTACACCGAATATATCAAAGAGGAGGGTATGCCAAAATGGAAAAACAAAAGAAGATGGATGTATTTTCACAGCATCGCTCGCTTTTCAAAATCGTGATGCTGAATTTGAGATAACATTGCACCTATCAAATAAATATTCTTTTCCGTCATTTTGTAATATGAGAAAAAAAATTCCATGAAACTGTATTCAAGTGCGCCAGTCTGTTGATTTCGATTATTTTTTATAGATTTTTTTATCGATCGAAATACATATAAATTGACAACTACAGCCTCACGCACCACATTAAAAGTACTAGACCAATTTGTTGTCACTGTTCGTTCTCGTTACAAAGATTTGGTCGAAATGAACTTGACGATACTTTTAGTGTTGTTGGCATTCGAATGTAGTGTTTGTTTATGTGACTACTGGGCAGACAGAGCAAAACTGATAGAAGACGAACACTCCCAAATACTTGGATCTTCCATCACACTTACCCCGAAAGAAGAAGTCGTTAATAAAAAACTCATCAAGATTAAATCAGATGAGTACGACAAGGGATTTAACAACGTTCTAAACTTTTTACCTTCTCAACATTTCTTCAAAACGAAAGCACAAGTAGAAAGCTCCGAAGTGTTCAAGTTCATTCAAAAGGTGCCCAAGGGAGCTGACCTTCATGCCCATGATAGTGCCATTGTTTCGGATCAATTCCTTTTCAATTTAACTTACAGGAGCAATCTGTACGCCTGTTTTCAAAACGGAAGTTTGCGATTGAGGTTCTTCAGTACGCCTAATCTCTCTTGCAACTGGACTCTCTTGGCAACGTTGAGACAGGCAGATCCTTCCATTAACGATTTGATACGTTCCAGAATTACTTTAGTCGTGGACAATCCAGAAACCAGATACAGGACTGAGCGAGAGATATGGGCAGCCTTTCTGAACGTTTTAGACCTTGTAACTCCTGTGATCACCTACAGACCGGTGTTTGAAGATTATTTCTACAGGGCTCTCGAGGAATTGTATGAAGACAATGTGATATACATGGAACTCAGAGGTCTGCTGCCACAGGTGTACGAGTTGAATGGCACCGTGTATGATGGAGTCGATGTGGCAGGATTGTACGTAAATGTGTTGAAAAAATTCAAACAGGATTATCCAGATTTTGTTGGTGCCAAGTTCATTTACACCCCGTTGAGGAGTGCGGACAACGTCACTGCATGGAAATATGTCGAAACGTTGAAAGCGTTGAAGAAACGCTACCCTGATTTTGTGATTGGTTTTGATCTGGCTGGCGAAGAAGAGAGGGGATTCCCGTTGAAGAATTTTATTCCACAGTTAACTAATATACAAGGTTCGTTGGTCAAAATAATTTACGATAAACGATTGTAAATCGTTAATTATTTTATACAATTCCTAGGAAATATCTATAATTTCTAAAGTCGCCCGGAAATGTGTGAAATAAATTATTATAATTAGACATATTTCCTAGGAAATCTATACATTTCCTAAATAGCAATCGGAAATTTATTATATTCAAGATGTTATTGAGTACGCGGGGTTAGCGGAGCAAGGGGAGGGTATTGTGTCATTCGATTAGGCGATTTATTGTATTCACAGATAACTCTGATTCTCAGTTTACTAACGTGTTTTATTCATTTTATTCACAGAAAGCATTAGTTTTATATATTTCCTAGGATATGTGAGTATTTCCAGTAACATGTACATATAATTCGCGTCGCTTGCGCGTCTTCTTATTGCTAGCAGCATAAGAATGCCTTCATGTCGAAATTTATAACAAAGTTACTGGAGACCGGACCTGATTAAAAGTTAAAATTACCCAATAGCGTCCAGTGGGGACTATACGTGGCGACAGCTAGTGGTCGGTATGAGCCAGATTTCTAGTAACAAGTGGGGTCGAGTGTGCGAGCGGCCTAAATAACAGTATACCTATGGAGCGAAATTTAATACGAAATTGTATCAGGTTCCAATATTTCATGAACAAATTATTTGTAATTAAAACAAATATATTAGTTACAATATTAGTGCTCTCTGCGGAATCATTAATCCAGGGCTTCAAAACCCTTAGATTTTTCAATTTAAAACTCATCTTTCATTTCTTCTAACTTTAGATGAAAAAATTTTAAATTTTAGTACTGAGTAGGTACAGTACTATCCTTTCTC